TATCTTCTCTGCAAAATGTTAAGGTTACATCACATAGAAAGGGTCTGTTTTATCAGATTTATACCCACTCAAACATTTCCTTCTTAGAGGTTAAATTAGGTGTTTTTGAATGTTATCCAGGAAAAGGTTTATGGAGGTTTTTGGACATCTATATTTTGGCGCTTAAGCTGTACTGCCATGCCACAACAACTGAGTAACATTAATCGTCTGCCATTTATTTTCATACTATACAGAAATGAATTATATTTATTGCTTCCTGGGTTATGGTAAAATACATTACAATGCTCAGCTGAGATGTAAAGAGATTTGTAATTGGCTAAAAGATGCTAAATCAATTAAGAGTTAAAAACTGTATGTTTCATCCAGATATTGATGCAGAAATCATTAAAGTTTACATTGTTTTGCCTGTACATACTAATAAAAACACAACAAGACCACGATCACATAGAAAGGTGCCTGTGCATACTAATAAAAACACAACAAGACCACAAATAGAGTGTGAAAACATATGAATGTCTTTATATCTGATCTTCTGTCTTTGTACCTGCAGGCTACAGATCTTTGTACCCGCTGACTGTGTGTCTGAGGGCCACTTGCTCAGCCCACAGTCATGCCAGATGTAAAGCCTCCACCACCATGTGACTACCCCTCCACCACCTCTGCCGCCGCCTCTGCAGGCTCTCCTGCTGGCTACGCCTCACCCCTCGACCTCATCATAGACATGGAGCCCTGCATGACCAACCTCCCCCTGTCTTCCTTCCCCCAACACAGATCCAGTGTCCCTCACTATCCAGGCCTCCAGGGACCTCCCTTCCCGCTCTTGGCCAGGTGTAACAGCAGCAACCTGCTCACAAACCTTGGGCTGAGGTATTGCTCCAGCAGGCAGGTGCCACTGGGGATGGGGCCAGGCCAGGGGCTGGCCCCGGGGTCCTGTGTCCCCCCAGGAAGCAATGGAAGCAGGCCTTACAGGAGTATGGAGAACCTGAACTGGAACCCTGTGGCAGACTCTGGCCTGTGCGTATTCAATGCTACCCCCTATAGGAGTGTAGATAGTGAGTTCATTTTACGCTATACATCCACTAGCCACTGGTATGATGGTTCCCCAAATGGATCGATGGTGGGGGCCCATGATCTAGTACCTGGTCCAGAGAGCTTGGCATTTTACCCTCGGCATGGGGTTCCCAGAAAGGACCTACCACTTCTTCCCCAGTTGCTGTTTCCAGTTGGCACTTATGAATGGGATGCAAGGAAGGGCCTAAGGGAGAAACTCTGTCTCCAGAGTGCAAGGTCATCAGTCAAGCCTCTGAAGCCCCTCCCATTGCGGCCTCAGGTGACCCCAGGTGCTGCACCCACTGAGCGGGACTGTATGCATTCAACAGGTGCTGGGTCCAGGCCACTGTGCACTATGCACATTAGCAGTCCTGAGGAGATCAAGCAGGAGGTCCTGAGGCGCTTGCAGCTCCGACGACAGAACAGCAGCCCAAACCTAGCTACTTACAGCTCCCCATCCAGCCCAAACGTGGTTAAGACGTCCTATACAAGAGACAACATTGCAGGTGACAGGAGTGGATCAGATTCTACATTTGAGCACCGCAGACCTCCTGTGGGACGCCTACATATCCCTACATTTGAGGAATTTAAGAGGATGAGGCATAAGCAGGTAGAAAAGGGTGCTGTGGTGTCTGCAAAATTGGAGGTTGACCTGCAGGATGCAGGAGTGTTAGACAGTAAGATACCTCCTTCTGATTGGACCAGTCTTCAGTCAGGTTCTGGAGAAGGAGGCAGAGTCAGAGGAAGAGACCATGAGGGTGTGGAGGGAGACGGGAGCACTGATGAAAGGACAGGCACCAGTGATGAAGGCCTGCAGACTGTCACTGCCTCAGAGAAACTTCCTTCTAACACTGTGAACTATAACAGTATTGCAGATCCCACCTCCTCCACCTCCACATACTCTCCTATTCGCACAGGCCCATCTCCACGTCCCCCCCTGCAGCCCCTGGCCAGCTCAGCCCAGGAGAAAGCCCCTGCTGCAGGGGAAGATGTTGGGAGCAGCAGGCGTAGGAGGAGCAGTCTAGAACCAGCTGGCTCAGTTCCCTTCCCACCCAGCAGGGAGAAGTGGGAACGGCCCTCCAGCTGCTGTCCAGCACTCCTTCTGGAGGGGGCGGACCTGTCCAGCTATGGAGCCAAGATCTATAAGATGAAGGATGGCCTCATCGACTCTGCACTGGACCTTATCAAGAAGAGGTTAGTCTGGGATTGGAGTAGGATGTATGTATTCATTATTGTCAGAAGTATTCAGATACTTTAATTTGTAACACTGAACACTTTTTACATTGTACACTACTACATCGGAATACTTCTCCCACCACTTCCAAGAGTTGATTTGTGAAACTCCTTAGTGTTTGACACCACCTTTAGAATGTAGTGAATGTAGATGAATGAAAACAAAGGATCTTTGATTATCTCTAATTTCTCTCAGTTTGTTCCTGCTCTGTTCTCAAAATGAAACTTAGGTATTTTACCAATATACACATTGATTTTAAGTCCAGTTAACCTTTTTGATGTTGAAATTAAACCTGGGCCCTCCAGTGGCGTAAAGCAGCAGAGGTATTTGTAATTATCAGAGAAGTACATTTTCATGTGTGTGCTTTGCAATGCCTAAACATTGTGTCTGTGTGTGTGTGTCCATCTGTTTAAGCCCACGTGTGTTGTTGTGTTATCGATTTATCTCAGTTATTGTGATAACAGCTGTTGTAGCTAACAAGGTTGGCTCTGCCGACAAGAGTGTGGGTGGGCTGTCATGAAGCATGACAGACTGGAAGACTGGTACCATCCCTACAGATTTGCTGTTTCTCTGTCTCTCTGTCAGTGTCAGCTGTTGGCTGAATAAATGCAGGCTTCACTCCACCATGGTTCATTAGGATCAAGGTCAAACAAGAGGGTGTGTTTTACACAAATGTGCTGCTGTTTGGGTCCAGGCCTACATGCAGTGTAAATAGTAGACCTTGAACACAGAGGAGCTACTGGATGAGGCCTCCAGAGACTCCAAGCCCCCTGCAGGCTACAGGCTTTGATAGATGGGTGATAAGTGGGATCTTTCCCTGCCTGTTAGGACTCTCCACTAACTGTTGTTCTTTTGTCTGCATTGCTAGAATGATGGATGTTTGAAGCTCTGCTTCATGAAGAGAGCAGAAAAATAAGCACAGTGTGTCTTTGTGTATATACATAACATGCTCTATAGCCTCTAGTGTTTTTTTTTACAATTTATGTATCAAATAGTGAAAATACCTAAGGTGTTGTCTCAAATTTTGACCTATGGGACAACCATTCTGACCAAGAAGTAACCTGAGGTTTACTGTTGTGGGGTAAATGGACTGGATGGGCACTATTTTAATCCTGAAAGCCACCATGAATTTGATTTTTCACAAGCAATAAGTAATACATGGATATGTGTTTAAAAAATAAAAGATTCCTATATTAAATGCATGGTCACGGACCAGTTACAATGTCTTCATGGACCACCAGGGGGCTGCAGACCACTGGTTGAAAACCCCTGTTTAAAACAACCCTAAGAGTTTACAGCCACGCTAGCAGACTGTTCAGAGACACAGCTTTAAGCTAAATGTTAACATGATCACAATAAAAATGCTAACATGCTAATGCTAATTGTAACTGTAGTTGTATATATGAACATGTATTTCTTGGCAATAAAGATTCAGATTCCAATTATCATATTATTCTACTTTTTAAATTTTATTTTAAAACAGAGTGGGAGCCACTAAACTGAGTCAAATTCCTTGTATTTTAACATACTTGGCAATAAAGATTCAGATTCAGATTCTAAGCAGATATAATGCTTACCATGTACAGCATCTTAGCTTAGCATGTTACTTGCTAGCATGCTAATGTTTGCTAAGTAGATGACACATAGATTATAGCTGAAGCTAATGGAAATATCACTGGTTAACCTAGAATGTGATCATAAACCAAAATAATGACAAATAGAAATTTTGACCAGATGACATGTAAAATGAAATTTAGAGAAGCACCACAGTTACAGTACAATTCATCCTGAGGGGAACATGAAGGTGTATAGTAATTGTAGTAGTCCATTCAATTAGTGGAAACATTTCACTCATAAATGTGTTTGGTTTGAGGTTCATAGTTATCCATTCATATGCCTCAAGCATGTAAAGTAGAAAAGCAGCAAATTCTCAGACCAAAGGCTGCTTGAACAATAAATTATTATTATTGTTGTTGACTAACTGTCTAACCACTTCACCATTACTCTTATCCTCTCACAGAACCCATTTACAGGTGTAGTAGCTCACATTTAACATTGTTAATCTTTTATATTCAAAGAGCACCCATAATGCAACATGCTACTTGGTCCCCCCTGTAATTTAAATCTAGCCTGAGGTTTTGTGAATGTTCTAATACTTGGAGATATATTAATTAAACATGACCAGGTTCTGTGTAATTTCTGCACCCTGGGGTAACAAAAAGTCTTTAAGTGCATCTTGCAGCCAGACTTGCATACAGAGCATAATGTATGGTTGCATTACTACAGGGATATTCATATTATTACACCGTGGAAGGACTAAAGCAGCACCACTGACTCAACCATATACTGCAGTAAAGATGCTCCAGTTATGTATAGCGTGTAGAGGGAGGTGTGTATTCTCTGTATTTAATACATTTATTTGTCTCTATTAGATGAAATATATTGCATTCATTGAAATAATACAGGATCTGCATCAATAAAAGTGACAGACAGGCTAATCCCAGTGTTACATTGTGCTGTGTTCTGTGTATGTGATCTATCACATCTAGTGGTTTCCTGATAAATTAAGCTGCAGGTTATTACTTCCCATGCATCATCCAAAGTGTGACAGCTAATACTGTGAAGGAAAAGCCTTTAGTGACAGTTGGTCCAAGTGAAATCTGATTGAATGCTTTAGAGCTGCATCCATTAATTGTATCTGCCTTCTTGCCACACTGGCTCCAGTTTAATTTGGATATTTTAACACCTTTCCTCAGCTGTATTGACTTTGTTGATCACATGTGTAATACAAAACAGTAGAGGTTTGCTGTAGTTTATAATGAAATATGTACAAGTCCGCTGGAGTGCCACAGATCATTAGATGGATGTTAAGAAATGATTTGTATGTATCCAGAAAGAGCTCAGAAAAGAAAGGGGCATATAAGGCCCATTAGAATTATCAGACTTCATGTTGGCACAGGAAGATGTGATGATACATAGCAGGCCAAAGTGAACCACATACAGTATCATAGCACTTTAAAGCTGTAGCTAGAGCAGTTGATTAGTGGACTGATCATTTTCTCAGTTTGATATTCATAGACCTTAGGTGGCATGACTGATCCCAGAAGTGAAGCCACCACAAGTCGATCATCCCCTAGTGGCTGGTTGCAGTATAAACCCTGCCCCCGTCAACTTAGTAGACACAGAAAAATTCAAATTAGATATTAAATACAATTTTCCCAGAGGGTCATTTTAGGTTGATATTATCATGATGATTTGTGTGGAAGTGGCCATTTTCTGATCATTTGTTTTTAATAAGTTATTTGATGATATAAAAAGAGGTGGATTTCAGATGATTTGACAGCTTTGATTGATGGTCTGATACTGTGGGTCCACCAGGCAGGATGTGGTGACACACTGTTCATTTTTATATACAGCATCTAATATCTTTGGGTTTTGGACTGTTAGCTGGACAAATACAGCAATTTCTGAATATCACCTTGAACTCCAGGAACTGATCAAGGGAATTTTCACTCATTTCTACCATTTCATTGACTTAATTTATCAGTTAATCAAAAATGATGTGGAAACAATGGAAATATTCCCTAGCTACCGTCATATTTAAAAAGAATAGTGCAAGAGACTTGGATAAGACAGAAAATACAAATGTGTATCAAGTGGCCGCACTAGTTTAATTCAGGTTAGTCCATGATCAGAAATATGAGACAGAAAAGAGAAGCGTTCACATGGAGCAAACACATTGGAACATTAAATTTTAGATCATTAGCCAATATTACAATCTCAGATTTATGTATAGTTGGATAGAAACCATGTAATCTTGTCAGGATCAAAACCCCACCAGAGACCTAACACTAACCATCCTCTTCTCTAGTTACATACACCACTTTGAGGAAAGTCAGTGTCTCAGGAACTTACAGACTTTCTTTTCTACAGAGGGCCTGACATTGTTGAGACCCTATTATGATTTTGACCCCTGGGCCTATCAAGCCTGCTGAGCTGATAAAACACCTTCCATATGAGTAAAATATAATTGTCTAAAATTGCTGTTACTGTATTTTGCACTCGTGCCCGCTGCACCATGAAGCTCACCAGTGTTTGAAAAACAAAATCAATATAGCTGCTGAATGTACGGTGGGAGACCTTGCTCCTTAGACCGCTCGTCTCTGAAATGTGTGTTACACTCATAAATTGCCACAGACATGCATTTGTGGTTTGTGTGCCATTTCACTGTTGTAATACAGTGTGTGTGTCACTACCTGTGTGCTTGTATGTGGGGTCTCAGATCACATGATGGCTGTGCACTGCAAGAATGGATCCCCAGTCTGATGTCTTCATGTGTATGTGTGTGGCTGTGTGCGGTTGTGCACAGACGCTGTCCCTGTGGTCCAGGGGTTCAGGTGTTAATGCGTGCGGAAGTGTCTAATTGATGTTCTCCTGAGAAGGGCCTGAGGGTGAAGGGTTGGAAGAAAAGAAAGGCATTGATTTGGGTGTTTTTGGTATAGAAAGTGATTGAGTAGCAGGGTTAGAAGAAGACATAGCATGAAGAAGCATGTGAGCTGGAGAGGGAAGAATGAGATGGAATGAATGACAGATGCTGTAAGGAGAAGAGCTCTGCCAGAATTATAATTTCAACCCCTTCTCCCTCCTGTTCCCTCTTTCTTCATTTACTTCTTCTATCCCACGCCCCCCGCCCTCTTTTGCCCATTCTCTTTCTCCCATCCTTTTGCTCTTCCTCTCCTCTCATTCCCTTCTTTCCAATGTCCTCTGCTTTCACTCGCCCCCTTCTCTCCATCCATCTTGCTCCCCCTCTGTACCTTCATCTCCACCAGCTGCAGTGCAGAGATCTCCACCGAGGCCCCCGTCAGGCTGTCAGGTGACCAAGACGGAGGCTGTGACATCACCGTCTCCTCAACTGACAGTCAGCCCTCCGCCGTTGCCATGGCAACGTCGGTAACGGCCTGCAGAGCTGATGCTGGCGACGAGACGCCTGCAGGAGGAGGAGGAAGAGAGGAAGCAGGAGAATGCGTAAGGATTCCTTTTCATTGTCTTTCATTTTTAATGTCTTAAATGTGTCGTCTGTGCGTCTCTGTTCACCACTTCTCATTGCTGCTTCATAATGTACAGAAATAGAGATCTACAGATTTTAGGATGACAGGGACAAGCAAGGGGACTGCGACACACACACACATATGCACATCACTCACATACTGATGCAGAGGTATTTGGTGAGGTAAGAGCAATCTTCCAGCAACAGCTCGACATCTGAGGGTGCAGTAAAAAGAGGATTAAGTCCCCTTCGTCAGCGGGCTGCTGGTAACTGAGGACTTCATTCCTGTTCTCTGCTTGGTTCCTCTCTGCTGGCTGCAGCTGCAGACAGCAGCTCTGTGCATCTACAGAACAGAAGATACGGACTGACAGAGTCGCATCATACATGCATGCTAGAAGGCTGCAGGTAGTTTAGAGAACAGATGTCGTGGTGAGTTGGCTTCTTACCTTCATTTTTAGCTTTGAATCCCCACTGTAGCTGCCTCTGCATTCTCAGAGAAAGGGCTGCTGTTTGCTAATTCAGCGGTCCATGAATTATTCTTCTTTGTTTTACAAGACTTCTGCAAGCTGCATATCACATTGTCATCTGATATTCAGACATGAAAACCTGTGCCTTTCAGTCATGTTTAGCTGTCAGCTGTCAGAATTTCAGGTTGTAGGAGGTAGCCACCAATGTAATGCCAGTATCTTCACATGAAATGGACATGGTCATGCTTCTATAGGCTGAGGAGCTGCATGTGTCATAGGAATGATCTTTGAACCTTCCACGTCATTTCAACTCTCAGGGACTTGATAGGCCCTAAAATGAATTTAAAAAATCACGAGCAGTGTTCATCTGTGCATAATGCTACAGTGTACTGGGGAATCCCTCGTTTCTCCTAAAAAGTGAGGAGATGATTTAAATTGGCACTCAGAAAACGTTGCTCATCTTCATGGCTGGGTGGTGGTTTCAAGTTGCGATAAGAGCAGAGTTTTGGGTGTGTGGCCTTGTTGTGTTATTCAGTTACAAGACTTGGCGGACGATTAGTGCTGCGTCTCTGTGAGAAATTTGGATTCTTGTCGGTTCTGCAAGCCGGGATCGAAGAGATAACCGAGATTTGTTATGTAATGATATCATGACACTGAACATGGTGACACTGTACATGAAAACTTCACACACACACACACACACTCACATACGCAAGCTGTGATTTCTGTGTTATCATCATTCCCACCTTATCTTCTCAAAGAGTCTTGTGCTTTTTCAACTGTTGCTATAGCAGTGTGATTGCTTGATTAACACATTCCTTTCCAAACAGCATCACACCGGTCTGGGCTGCAGACGCTCCAGCTCGGACGCAGCTTATGAGCTGGCTGAGACGGTGAGGGCACAGCGAGAGTGCCGCCTCCGGCCCCACTACAGTGACCCCATGCCAGCCGACGCCTCCAAGCGCAAACAGCTGGAGATGAAGATTGCTGCTGCCGCCCGACTCCACAGCCATCGCAGAGACAGAGACCGAGACCGAGATAGTGGTGAGTACGACACGTGTGGCAATTTTGTGCCTGTCACAGTGTTCGACGTTTTTTTGCATGTAAATTGCTGCATTTAATGTCAGTGAAGCAACAAATGATAAACCTGAAGCTGCAATATTTTATTAATGTAATATTTTTAATAGCAGTTTTTAACATTCCTTATGCAACTTAACATCAAGCCTAACATGTTAAATACACTGCTCAAAAAAATTAAGGGAACACATTGGATCTTGATGAACAGACTATTCAAGTTGAAAACCTTTAGAATGTAGACTGTACAATTTGTTCAGAACAAAATGAAATAGCATCCATCCATCCATCCATTTTCCTCTGCTTATCCGGGACCGGGTCGCAGGGGCAGCAGTCTAATCAAAGATGCCCAGACTTCCCTCTCTCCAGACACTTCCTCCAGCTCCTCCGGGGGAATGCTGAGGCGTTCCCAGGCCAGCCGAGAGAGATAG